ATTAATTAGTCCTACTTAATAAATTAGTTTGAAACAAACACCATTGTCTATCACTTATACATGACACATATGTGACATATAGCATAATGTATGATCATGCATGTGAGAAATGTATCAAAAATTAATAGATGTCACACATCTTAAACACGGTATGAATGCTGCATGACATTACTCACTGTGGACATTAATTAGTGGGGACACAAAGCTCTTAAGACACTGATAGGAACTCCCCAATCTACAACAAAATAGTTTGGTCTCTCTAGGCCAAGATTAAAGATATAGCGTCATCCCGACATGGAGGACAATAGCTGATGCAATCTTTAGGCCAGAACTACAAGTATTGATTCTTTTTAATACATTATCTTTGGCAGGGGTAGGTACGATTACAAGTACAATAAGTAGGGGCTCGAAGCCATACAATGCCTCGTCGAGTATATTCCTTTTGTGTGGATAAAGGAGGGGGCGTAAAGGAACAATATTTCGCAACTCTCAAGTTATTTTAGTATTTTGAATAAATTTACAATGAATTAACCAACTTTTATAAGTTCTTGAATTATTTAAAATAATTGTTGGGTAAGAAGACCATTTGTTTTTGACATCTAACAATCATGGCTTTGCTCGCTTGAGAAATCTTATTGAACATTTACTCATCTTTAACTTTAAAGGGTAGCTTAAGTGGTAACATAGACAAGCAGTAAATTTAGATATTTTGAGTTTAAATCTTGTCAATTGCTTGAGGCCTATGAGGGTTTATCCCTCATGAATTCCCTAATTCCGACATAAATGTCTTACCTTTGACCCAATTGAGTAGGGAATTAGTCGAGATACGTGTAAACTAGTCTACACATCACTCACCATCGAACCCAAAAGAATTTTTTTGAAAAGTTACTCATCTAATTTACAAAATTTTCATAAACAAATCCCAAATTACAAGTTTTTTCTTTAGAATGGCTAAACAGAGGCCGCAAAGTCTGTTAGCCCAATGCTACCAAGTATAGCCCAATGCTATCGTCAGATTCAGGCTTGTACAGAACAAACTAGGCCCAATAGAGTTAGGCCCTTAAGATTAACCCGATCCACAAAACTACGCTATAAAGCAAATTTTGCATCAGTCGTTTACGCGCCTTTTTCCAAAATCAATTCGTGTGCAAAAGCTCCGACGCCTCCATGGGAGACCTCTGCAAATCCTCCATCTTCTTCTCCGATCAACATCTCTGCTACGCAGATATCCTCCCTCCTTCAGAGGTACGTCTCCCTGGAACATAGATACATTTTATGTGTGTGAGCGCGCGTCTGTGTGAGACTGAGAGAGAGAGAGAGAGTGTGCTTATTATTTGTCCTGAATATGCGTTCAGGTCCGAGCAAGAATGGAAGTAGCAGTTCTCAATTTCCTCAAGATCTTGAATTCTTCGACTCCCGCAATCTCAGATCTAGCTCTGGTTTGTAAATTTTCACTTCAAATTATACTCAAATTTGTATTACTTGGTGTCTGAATGATTGGAACAAATTTTGCGGTATTTAGATGACATTTTAGCTTTGAATGTAACTGCAGATCAGCAGGAAGTCGAGCAATAGCAGAATAAGTAGGGGATTTTTGACCGATGTTTCATGGACTTATCTATCTCATTCGTTTTGCACAAGGTCTTTGATGAGAGAAAATTCTGCTAAATCCTTCATTAGAGGTAAATCAATCCAAAAAATTATAAGATACCACGCGCACATATAAACATAGCTCCTCCAATTTTGACTCATGCTTCTTCTTTTTTGTCCGTCTCTTTTCCACTTAATGAAGTGTGGAAGGTTATGGAGATGTGTTACCACATTCTGGTCCAGGAAAAGAGGGTTACTCAAAGAGAACTGTTCTACAAGTTGCTTTGTGATTCACCAGACTATTTCACTTCTCAATTGCAAGTCAATAGGACTATCCAAGGTTACCATTCTCTATGTTGTTTAGACTGAACTGTATCTTTAGCATCGTCTAGTCTATGCCAATGTATACTATAGCCTTATCATAGAATTCATACAAATTTCCGGTCAACAGATGTGATAGCGTTGCTTCGCTGCAGCCGTTACAGTCTTGGAATCATGGCATCTAGCAGGGGGGCCGTTGCTGGCCGCCTGTTCCTGCAGGTATACAGCTTCACTTTTTTACTGACGTTTGCAGCATTGCGTGGCATTCCCCATCCTCAGTCTTCATAATCATAACTCGCTGCTAGGTGAATTAGAATAGAAAAGGGAGCGCAATATTAATTTGCGTGAGATAGATTTGAAGATACGGAAAGTCAAACGATCGATTAGTAGTAAGTTCAAATCATGATCATAATTAAGGACAGGAAACTATTTGTGTAGTTTCCCTTCAGTTGCTTTCCATGTTTAGTAAATAGTAGGAAATGTTGCTCAATATAAAGTTATAAACCCTATGGGGCCTATTGATTGACTTCCCAAGAATTCACTAAACTTTTCTTTTTGTGGACAAGAAATTCAATGACATTATGTAATTGACGATACAGAAAAAGAATTGTACTATACCTGGCCTGTAGCAGGGAAATTCTTCCTTACAAATGTTTTCCAGTATTATATCTATCTCTACAGTTTTATTCCTCATGTAATTAGATTGCCAGCCACATAATGCCTTCCAATGAGCAGCCTTATTATCCGGTCTCCTGACAAATTTGTAAACAAGCTGGAAATTTAAGTTGGCTGTTCTGTAATGTATAGCTTTTAAAAGCTTGGTATTTCCCAATCAGGCTTTCGAGTATGATCTTGTTAGGCTTGGATGAGTAGTCTTGAATCTGACTCAAACACACTACCTGCTTCAGTTCCAACCCCTGGCTCTCATAGCAGGTTCTGACTGCTGACAAATTTTGGATGAACAATTTCCCGAATCTGAAAACCAGTTTACAGAGAGGAGTGCAACAAGTTTCAAATCTACTTATAAAGCTCAAATGCTTGTAGCAGCCTTCTTCAATCTATGATTAGACATCACTCAAGATCATCCTTATTTTTCAATGATTTAATGGATACCGACACTTATCCGGTTGCCTTCTTGAAACAAGGAACCAGATCAAGAGGTTGTAGATTGTTCTGCTTGCGGATCTGCAGGTTATGCTATTTCTGGTGACCTGAATTTATTAGAGAAATTGGAGATGAAGACAGATGCACGGTATATTTTTGTGGTAGAGAAGGTAATTGTGCTCGTTGAGCTTCTTGTGAGAAATTTGAACCCTTTGCTAGTAATGTTGCAACAGAGATACTAATAAACACTTTGATTTGTTTAGCATGCAATATTCCAGCGGCTGGCCGAGGATCAAGTCTTTAATCAAATTCCGAGCATTCTTATCACGGCCAAAGGATACCCAGATATTGCCACAAGGTAAAAGTTTTAAACAGGTCATGCCCTGGAACTTTAGCTTACCCAGATATGACCATAACCCAAGTTGTAAAAATGCCAAACAGGTTTTTTCTTTATCGAATGAGCCGAGCTTTCCCTGAGATGCCAATTCTAGGGCTGGTTGACTGGTAAGGATGACTTTTCTTTTTATCCTTGGCTGCCTCAAGGACAAAGATAGTGCTCACCTGCAACTCCCAGATCTGAATTAACTGCAGGAATCCTGCTGGATTAGCCATACTATGCACCTTTAAATTTGGAAGTGTAGGGATGGGCCTCGAAGCGTACAGATACGGTGCTTTCTCCATTGGCATACATTGTACCCAATGTTTTTGCATAAAATCCATATATATTCACTCCTTGTCATTCAGCTTGCAATATTAAATGGCTTGGATTGCGGAGGGATGATCTAGACCTTATACCTGAACAATCTTTAGTGCCGTTGAAGCCACGGGATCAGCAAATTGCCAAAAGCTTGATAACCTCGGAAATTTTGCAGGTGGATTTTCAAAAATCACATTTATTTTTTTCCTCAAAACCTTTTTAACCCATATGAAGTGGGAATAGTCTTTTTTCCATTCTCGGGTCTTTTCATTTTTATAACACCGAAAATATAACAAAATCACATGTTTTTGACAGGATAGCTACAAAAAAGAGTTGGATGTTATGGTTCAGAGTGGTCACAGAGCAGAAATTGAAGCGCTCTACTGCCATGGATATGATTTCTTAAGGCAGTACTTGGCAAAGAAAATTGTACAGGCCAGTTACATCTAATTACCCATCATGACACAACTAAAATTTCCTGGTAAGCTTTCACAAGGAATTTGTAGCGCCAAATCTGAGTCCCAGCTAACAAGTCTCGGGAAAACTTTTGGCTGAGAGATCATGACAATACCCAAAGTTCTAAAATGCCAAACAAACAGGATTCTTCATTGAATGAGCCAGACATTTCCAGAGAAGCCAATTTCATGGTTCATTGGCTTGTAGGGATGAATATAGGACTCATCACCATTTTCACTCTTGATTTTCATCAAGAAATGCATCTGGGTTAGCCATACCATGTGTCTTCACATTTTGGAGTGTAGGTTGGTCTCTGAAGCATACAAATATGGTTTTCTATCCACTGCCCAGCTGAACATGTTTGTCTGATTGTTTTAATTTCATAACGAATGATGACAAACTGATATTCAAACAGCAGATCCCAGCCTCAAAAGTCAAATTCATATAAACTATTTAAATCAAGAAAACATTGTTTTCAGAATGCTACAGCATTATATAAAAATGGAAGCCCAAGACAAAGTTAAGATCTCATTACATCTTCCACAATGTTCATCTGAAATCAAGCATCACTTCAATAAATAGCTAGATACGCAGACAAAATTGTTATTGTAGTGAACCATAAAACCTTCAACCAAAAAAACTACCTGTTCCTGGAATTTTGATTCAGTCAAAACACATGCACCATTAAGAAAAATGACTATTTGCAACCTAGCCTGCAATTACAAAAGCAGGATTATGAGAAAGATTCATACATCACTAACCTAGTCTCGGCTGCAATGTACATATCGTTACAAATATACTCAAATTCCAAGCAAAATTTATCAGCCTCTCTTCATGAGAGACGGACTCTTTTTCCCTCTACATAGAATTTATCACTGCCTTCAAGCTGCAACAAAGAACTTTGAGAGTCAGAACAAATTCAAAATGGTGGGAAAGGAATATCTGAAGCCCCTTTTGACACATATATGGAGATGATTGTTCCCTGCTAGCCAAAAAATCATACCTTCCGTTTCAAGAAATCAAGAGCGTCTCTTTTTGAAGAGAAGTTGGAGAAAAAAGATGATGAGTGCTCATCAATGAGAACTTTGAGCTGCCTCAGCTTTAGTGATTTCCCAGATACCTGTGGAAAGAAGTCAATAAGCAAAGGAAAAAATTGCAATTTTGGATAAGCAAAAAATTTTAGCCGACGAACCTGACGAAGAAGCTGTCTGCAAAGTTTTTTCAGTTTCACCTGTGGTTCATCATTCTTTTCCACTTCCAGGGCTTCACTAGGTTTTATGTTGACTGTGGAACGAGAATCAGAAGAATCCTCACCGTCAGTGTCATAGAAAGATGTCTTCTTCCCCTGAAAGTGGCAGCCAGCTATTTTCCTTGGCCTGTCCTTGATTCCCAGACCCTGTTTTCCAGATGTTGCCTTATCCTGCAGATAAATACTTGTATCAATAATTTATCCTTTGTGACGATCCGTATAAAAATTAATCGTTAAACTATTAATTAGAGGGCTAATTATTATTCTAAGCTATCATGGGTCATTTTTAAAATTTTCAAATAAATAGATGGCCTCAAATATTAATTACTTACGTGAAAATGAGTTAAATGACTATAATATTAATTATATTTAATAAATATCCAAAGTATTCAAATGGTATAATAGATGTGTAATATATGTATTATATGTAATATACATATACTAACTATTATCTGTGCCTGAAGGCACGAAGTAATAAAAAAATGATCAATAATAAATATTTTTGTATTCACATCCAAAATCAAATCACAAATATAAAAAAGAGAAAAAGAAATTTAAGTACCAATTTTAGTGAGGATGAGCAGTGGTAGTGATGATGAAAGAAGGTGAAAATTTTTTTGGACGGCGACAATTGTGGGTGGCAATGGTCGTGGTGGTGGTGATGGTGAGTTTTGGGTGACAATAGTGATAGTGGCAACCATTGGTGAGAAGGTGGTGGTGGTGATGGGTGTGGGAGGTGATTGACAACGGTGATGGTTGTTGGCAGTGGTAGGTGGCGACGATGGCAGTAGTTGTGATAGTGATGGGGTGGCGATAGTGGCGGTGGTAGTAATGGGGGTGCAGTGGAGGTGTTGATGGTGGGGGAAGGTGGTAGTTGTGGTGGTGGGGTGGCGATGGTGGTTGTAGTGGTGATGGTGGTGGGCGTTAGGGGTGGTGGGTAATAGGGATGGTGGTAGGACTGCTCCAAATACTAATTTTTTTTAAAAATACTTATGAAAAATTATAAGTTCTATAAACGTTTTTAAAAAGTCATCTCAAACACACATTTAGGAGTCTATTTTTCCTATTAAATTTGAGAAATTAATATTAACCATCGAATTAACTTTAAAATAAAATTTGAAACAATTTCAACTGCGAAAAACAAAAATAATTTTGTTTATATTTTTATATTTGAATCGTATTATACTTTATTATATAGAATATTAAAGGGGACACAAAAAAAAAATTGGTGACATTTGTATTAAGGTAAAACAAAAAAAAAGCATGGACTTGTCCATGCTTGCATCACCATGCCATTACCCAAGTGACGTAAGTGAATTGTGATTTGTGAGCATGCAAGTTTTGCCCATAAATATGCCCAGGCCCCATAATCAGTAGTGAAATCAAGGAGAAAGAAAGAACAAAAAAAAAAAAAGAAAGAACGAAAAAAAAAAAGAATGGAGAGATAGAAAATGAAGAAAAAATAGTGAGACTTTAGGTTCAAAATTAGATTAGTAATTCTAGTCCCAATTTCTATGAAATTGTGATATGTTCTTAAAGTAGTGATTGTCAAATTTATCGGTATCACTTGGTGATTTAATATATAGAGTAGCATACAATATGTTCCTGTCTTTAAATCTCTTTGCAAAGAGTGCTTTATCGTTTATCTCAAAGTTCATATTCATATTCTCTATTTTTGATTGATATGAAATTCTATGTGTTTTATTGATCTAACTTGTACTTTGAGCTAAATACTTTAGAATTGATTAGTACATGTACAAAGTGTGCTTGAGACATAATTTGTGAAAAATAATTGTGGCTCGACAGAGTATTATGATTGTACGATGTGAGTATAAATTTATATGTCCAAGTGTCATTTGTCATGTCACTAAAATGAACCGAATATGAAGCTATATTTGACAACAGTTGAGCTATGTGACATGTCGAATTTGATGAATTGACTATTCATGATTGTCTATCGATTGAGTTATTTGATATTTGATCATTCATATTTTACTATTGCCCATATTGTTTCCTTTCTCCCCTTTTAATATTTTTCAGGATGATTTGGAAGGGACCAAAGTTGAGAGTTCAAGAATTAGAGATTTCAACTTTTATTATTGTTGTAATATATAATTTGGAGACATTCATTTGTATATTTTAGAAACTATTTTATTGGCTTTCAAGGTAATTGGAGGTCTAACCTAAATATTATTTGGAGATATATTTATGGTATATTGTGATTGATTCATAAAGTATTTGAGAAACCGGGACGTTACATCGTATAACCTCCAAGGTGCTGGTATTCTACTAGAGCAATCAATCATGTGTTAATTGAACCATTACAATTTAAATAAGCAATCAGATACTGAAAATTTTCTTCATGTATAAAGAGTTCACAACATGAAGTGAATGCATTACAAGCCAAACTAGATTTCTTTTTCAACCCAATAACGTTGCCAAGTATTGACTTAGATTGTGTGCATGTGCCCCTGGGCCACAGGGGCAGTAGAGGAGGTGGTGGTGGTTTTTGTAAGGCATGAATAAAAAGAAGCTCACATACTTGGACAAGTTGGTAAATAAAATAATCAATTAAGATACATACTTGTACAAGTTTGTAAAGATTCTCTTGATCCTCCTCATGAAATGCAGTCCTCTCACTACATCTCTGAGTATCTTCAGCCAGGAGGGGGTTTTTCCTCCTAGACTCGGCTCCAAGAAGACCACCAGGCACAAATCCGTGTTTATGACCCCACCACTCTGATGAAACACCTTTATCTTCTTTTCCTGCCACGATAAGAGTGAACATATAGTATAGTTTCTACAAGCAGCTAACCAATGCCAGCATGAGTTATATGCTTCTCCAAATTTTTTACTATGCTAAATGACTACATTAAGAAAGTTGGGAATGCCCCATGATGAATGGCCTAGAGTAATTTAGCGGGATAAGAAAACCCCCAGAATCAAAAACATATTGAAATTTTCAGCAAAGACACCATGTAGAAGAGAGAAGTACCCATTAGAATCAGAAAAGGGAAGACATCTACAGTTATAAGAGATGAAACAAAATAAGAATGGTACAAAGGAAGAGAGGGGATCGACCAAAGCTTTTGGGTCTGAAATGGAACCAATATAGTATAAAGGTCATTGGCTCAGTTTGATAGCTGTTAACCAAGGGCCTTAAGATAGATGGAATGTTAACAAACCTAACCCTTATATGCACAGTGTGGCTATCCACAGATTCGAATCACAGCCTTCGCGTTGATATTCCTAGAATCTTATTAGTCATATGTGATGATATCAACTCTTTTGGACTGTTGAGAAGACCAAATACATGATGCAGAGAAGGAAATGGAGACACGGAAACACATACAATATATATCCATTTCTATCTTCACCAGTGTGAGAAAAACACTTCGTCGTAAGGATAGTATGTGCATCGAAACTTAAACACCACTAATTGCATTTACTTAAATTATTGCCAGGTGCAACATTAATTCAACTAATGCCATTGTGTGGAGAAATAATTCAAGTTGAAAGTGGCAAAAGGACGAGCAGAGGGCCAAAAAGAAAATGGCCCGAGGCCATAGGAGAAAGTAAAGTAAAGAAAATACCCACATAACAGACTCCATGTAGTTAGAACTAAGGCCAATTGATTATGAGTTTTCTTTCAGGTACATCAGGAAAAAAGAACACACAATCATAATCAGGACACTTATTTTAATGTCAATTTATAGCTAGTGAAATTACTTTCTTCAAACAAGATAAACCAAACAAATAGTATAATCAAATCAAACACTTTACCCTGCAGAATACTACCCAATAACGAATAATGCGCTTTGAGGCCTTCATGAATGGGCTACACGAGCATTTGAAAAGCGAGGAACACTCAGTGGTCCTAAAGCGTTTCCTTATTCTCATGTCATGATTTTCTTAGCCACCCAACATCAAAGAGTTTAGAGTATTTCTAAACCACAAACTAGAGAAAGAACACTGCAGAATGCTGATTCTAAACAACACAATAATGATACAGACAGCAATACATTTGCAGAGTCGAATGCAATAAAATGTCACTATGGACAGCAACACATTTGCGAAGTCAAACCCACCCTAATGTGAATGTGCATACAGATGTTATCTAACACAATGCCCTTTTTGAAAATTTATCCATGGTTTCAATATCAAAGACAATTATATTGCTTTTTATCTACATGGATTCCAGAGGTTACCTTCAATATTGACATAACTTCAAACCCACCCTAATGTGAATATGCATACAGATTTTATTTAACACAATGCCCCTTTTGAAATCGCATCCATGGTTTCAATACCAAGGGCAAGTGTATTGCTCTTTATCTACATGCATTCCAAAGTTTACCTTCAATATTGACATAACTTTCAAATGCGTCCAGCGATTCTGATATGTCCTGATTATGATCCATCTGAGGAGACTCCTCCTTTTTGACCTACATTATATAACAGTAAGACACTTGGAAGTTCATAATTGGAAAAATATTAAGCTGGATAAAAATTCTTGGAATTCTGTAGCAAAAGCAAACTAAATAGAAATCCTAGAAGATCATGCCCACAAAATTATAAATAGCCTTCAAGCTCTACAATACAAGAGGTCACATCACCAAAATTAATCTAGGTCAGACTTCAAAACTGAATCAGAGAGCCCAACAATCAACTTGAGTGGGTTAATGAGGCATGCCATCCCAAAATTAATAAGTTTGAGAGAAGCTAGGAAAGCTCTTCTAACGTATGAGATTTGTCTTTCTTTCTTTTTTTTTTTTTTGAGGGGGGGGGGGGGGGGGGTGTGTGCTTTCATTAGTGTATGTGTATTCTTTTAATCAATGTGTTTTTGTGTGCATTTTTATTTGCACAATGTTTATTTTGGCGTGTATGTTTNCCAATAATTTTACTATTTGATTTGGCATTGATCAAGGAACTTTGCATAAGGATGCATTATCTAAACATTTAGTCTAGCTCAAAAAAGACATGACAAAGAACATAATTCACACAGTAACTACCTTGTCACGTCTGGTTCAAGCAACTGTAAACATAGTTATACTTATCGTACGATACGTCATGATATACCTGAAAAACAATACGTATCATGTCTCTATATCGTTTTTGAGCCGTATCGAACGATACATGATACGATACGATACGCCTAAGAGGCGATTCTGTTTTTATATGTTTTATTTTTTGTTTTTTGGAGTTGAAATGACATTGTTTTACCCTAAGACTTATTTTTAAATCACTAACTAGTGAGACAACGTCGTTTCAATGGTTATAGTTTAAAAAAAATAAATAAAGTCTAATGTTAATGTTGTTCAATTGAATTCAAAATTTTTAATTAATATTAAAATTGTTCAAGCAGTTGATGTTAAAAGTTTGAATTAGAGGTTTTTACATTTTGATATTACTGAACTATGTTGTAAACTTGAATAGTTGGTGTAATATTAAAGAAATATTATATTATTATGAGTCTATGACTTTTTTATAAAGGTATATACATATATTTTATTAATAATTATTTAAAAATTAAAATTACGCGTATCTTACGATACATGATACAATACATTATATTTAAAAAATGATACGCCTTCCAATACATAATTTGACAACTATGGCTGTAAATATGTCCAATATATTGCAACCAAGCAAACATAAGTATTCCATGGGAATAACATCTTAATAATGCATAAAACTTACAAGAATTCCTTCAAGATCCTTCGAAGAGTAAGCATGGACAAGCTTCCCCCTTTCTCTTTTCTTATATCTGAAGATTAGTCAACATTCAAAAAATAGCAGCAACTACAATTCATGCAAAAATTACTATTGAAAATTTGGGATAAATGAGAACTTAAACTGTTTGAAATCTATTGACCTTCCTTGTGGCCGTGTAACCTTGACACCTGTATCATGCTTGTCATTAGATACATTGGCATCTGTGCCTTCTTGATTATCATCCTTTTCAACAGCTGTTAAGATGTATGCAATAAATGGTCTGCTTAAGAATTCAGAGATGTATAAAAGCACAACATGAATTCCATCATTTGACTAGCTGCCATTCAGTTATACCTTCATCGCTGTTAATTTCTGCTGCTTGCTGTCAATTTCCCCCAGATGAAAAACACAACGACTTAGTAACATCAGACTAGAAATTAGCCATAACGAGTAATATGAGAAGAAAAGTTTGAATTTACCACTTTCAATCTTTTGAGGATACTGTCAAATTGTGAAGTATCAAATGCCCAATTGTTTGGCTTTTCTAAACCAACTCCTATTACACATCAAAACACAGTTGAGTTATCAGCTACAGTCTGTCTATTGATCCGCAGATTGAAGAGACTAATTTCCAGTTCTTTTTCAACAATTAGTTTCTCAGTAACCAAACGGAAGATAAATATTTCCATCCTAAAAAAAATTGAAAACAAGAGGAGCCAATAAAATTACCGGTAGTGTCCTGTTTGTTCTTAACCCTAACATGTCCTTTGATCCCTTGCTTGTCTTTCCCAAGCCCTTCGCCTTCTTCCCAACCCTATGACACATTCACTTCCAGAACATCAAGTCTCACATGCACACACACAAATACACATATAGTAACTGAGTTGAAATGAATCAAACAAACAATAGATTCGGAAAATCTAGGCTCTGTTGAGGCAATGCTATGTGTGTCCATCAACATATACGTATATACACATACACACACAAATATATATATATATATATATATATATATAGATATATATCAACATATAAGTGTGTATATTAGGTGATTTTATGTGCGTTGGTACGACGCCGACAGAGAAACTGACCATTTGTTTCATGAGACGAAAGGCAGCGGATTTTCTAGCGACTCCGACGTAGCAAAGAGGAGCGTCCGGAGCGGCCATAGTTGGTGATTCAGATCCTTCTCCCTCTCCCTCGCTCGCTCTCTCTCTCTCTCGACAAGTCGAGACTGGAGAGAGGCGGAAGAGAGAGAAAGAGAAGGGTTTTAGAGCAGCCGATGACCTAAAACGGTGGAGCCGTTGAAACAAGGAAAATTACGTGTATATCATCAGCGTCATGTATGACTTTTTGTACGAATAAATCGACGGTTATTTATACGCTTATTTTTAATGGGTCCCACAGAGGGTAAACTTATCATCGCGTTTAAGTTTTTATACTTGGTTTGTTTTGCCATCATTATCAAATGTCAAAGCTCTGATTTAAAAAAAAAACAGTCAAAACAAATTTGTTTGGCTTCTTTGGTTCGTAACAATAAAGAAAAAATCCACATGCCTTATATTTTACCTCCAAATTTTCAGAAAAAAGTTAATTAATGAAAAGATTATCGGGTTGAACTCAAGGTTGTCATATGTCAAAGGAAGAATAATCGATTGGGTATTCGGATAATAAGAAAAAATATTTTAATGTTAATCAAATTTCTAAAATTTAAGAATTTTTAATTTTATTTCACTTCTAAAGAGAATTGATAGTACGGTAAAATTGATAAAAAATAGACTTCATAACAAATAAGTTTTTTTGATGAACTTAAGTCCATACATGAGACCGACCTCTAAATTTCTCTTATTAATACGAGTATTTTGAATGGGTCCCACAGAGGGTAAACTTATCATCGCTTTTAAATTTTTATATTTTTGTTGGCTTGTACAATTAAATTTATAAACTTATCAAATGTCAAAGCTGTGACTTAAAAAAAAAGAAGCCATAACAAATTTTTTTGTCTTCTTTAGTTTGTAACCATAAAGAAAAAATTCACATGCCTTATATTTTACCTCCTAATTTTGAGAAAAAGTTAATTAATGAAAAGATGATCATGTTGAACTCAAGATTGTCATATGTCGGTTGGAGAATGATCGATTGGGTTTTTCCATTTAGAATTCCTCGGAAGAAAAACAAAAAATAATTACTTGAACCCCTACAATCTTTTACTTAATTAATTATTACTAGTATTATATAACTCGAAGTTATAAAAATATGAAAATTATCAACAATATTATGGATTTATTTAGTAGGATGAATTAAATAAGTTGGAATGAAACAATGGAAAAAATGGGATTTAATTAGTTTTTGAAGGGAGGATTTATGATTTATTGATAATTTATTTCTAATTTTTGCAAGAGATATTAAAATTTTAATATTAAATTAATGAAAAAAGACATTAATAGGATGAAAAATAAATAAGCTGAGAATTTTTATAAATTTTCAAGCTTAATTCATTCATATGCCATAGCTTAAAATAAACCTAACCTAGTCAACAAGTTGATTATTCAAATGTTTTTAATTCTTGCCGACAATTTTTAAACTTAATTAATTTTATTTTATAACTCGTGGGTAATTACAAATATGGAAGTTTACTTTACATAATAAATTACGGGCCGTTTAATTATAATATTAAATGATAAATTACAAAATTAAAAAAAAATTACTCCAACAATATTTTAAATTATTATTTTATCCAGAAAAAAACAAAAAATAAAAAATTAGATGTAGATTAATGGTTATTAGTACTATATTGGTCTTTTTTTTTTCCTTTCCTTTCCTTTCCTTTTATTTATTTACAGTTTCATTATTGTAAGAAGAAAAATAAAGTCCCTTACATGTTGTGTCTGCCACCACCACTTGGCCGCCTATCTTTGCAACTCTTGTATACATCTGAAACAGCGGCATTGTTCTCTCTCCTATTCTCTCGATTCTTCCATCGAACACGGCCTTCCATTGATGGGGTCAATGCTCGGTGACTGGCCGTCCTTCGACCCCCACAACTTCAGCCAACTACGAGCCTCTGATCCTTCCAATCCTTCTGTGAGCATTTGTCTTTCTGATCATTACTAATTTTTTTCTTAGTTTAGTTCATGTTATTATGGAAATTTTTATTTTTGTATGATCGGTTAAGCGTCGAAGATTTGCTATTAATTTTGTTTATTATTGTTAAAGAAACGCACACTTGCATTTAAGTGAGGGTTTTGTTTGTTAAGCAGTAAAATTACATGCATTTTCTGATTTTCTACCCATTTAAGACTAGGGTTTTTTGACATACCCACGAAGATTACTGTAGCTATAAGTTGAAATTTTGTGAATTGTAGCCTTTTAATGTATGATCTGGTAGTTTCTGAAATTGGGTTTTCTGATGTTCGGCAGATGCTTAACGGGGAAAGTTTCTTAGATGAATCAGGATCTTAATTCATGTTTTGATGTGGGCATTTTCTATGCTTCAAGCCTCCAAGTTTACTTCATTCTACATCCATTTAGTTATAAATTCACATGCATTCACTACTTATTGTGGGAACCGAAACTTAAAAGCCTAAGCATGTGGGTGGTGTCCTTTTTGTCCTGCTTAGTTTCACTTGGGTTGTCTGAGCATGTACATGGACTTCAGGATAGATCATGTAATCTTTGGCTGCGATGCAGCACCCGTACTTGCCTTTTGGATAAAGCTTCTTTTCTTAGACTTGTTCACTTGTTTGACATTATCAACATTCTTAAATGGCATACTATTGTAAAAATGGAAGGTATCTTAGTTTACCAAAATTGTTCATGTTGTGAGCTTCAGGAATTGTTTTAGGAAGTGCTAAAGTAGGAACTTAAAGCATCATGAGCCACGTCTTGGTTTCTTAATCCAGTGAGATGAAGGAAGTTGCGAACTAGTCTGTGCGTTGAGAAATGTTTTGCACAATTAAAATCCCTTGACAAGGTGAACTTAAGTAACTTGTTGATGGGCACCATATCTATTTTTTAAGAAAGCTTGATGTAAAATCTACTTTTGATGTTTAGCATTACTAGGAGAACGCAAATTGTGCAATCTTTTGTGTGTGTGGGAACTTTTGCCACTAGTATGCGACAAACAAGTTATAAAAAGGTGAAAGAAAATCCATAATAATGGACATTAATTCTGTCCAAGTAATTGGAATAAGGTTTTGAAACATTACAATGCGTGAATAAACTTTATAGTAACTAGCACTTGCCATGTACGATGCACGGGAAACTGTGGAATATGACTAATGTTGATGAAAATTTTGATTTTTTTGATAAGACAAAGCCGAGAATATATATTGGATTGTAGGGGTGAAAGAATGTATGAGGGGAAGGATTTTGTCGTGAAGTTGAGCGATGAATGGACTGACTTGTTTATAAACACAGCTTGGGCTCAACTTACTGACGGGCTTCTTCGGGTTCATTTGTGCTGAACACGAGCAATAATTTGCTAATTTCGTTGACCAACCCGTCCCTTTTATTTGAACATGGACCAACCCGGCTGAACGTGATGAATTTTGGTTTCATTGTGCTAGTTAATACTGTCATAGAGGGTATGCAAAACATTATGGAAGGATTACATTTTGGTAAAGTGCATAAAAGTTTGTTTTATAAGATTTGTCATTGATGTATAAATATTTAAAACTATTGAACTACTAGATTTGGTATTCTTTAACTCCCTCACACCTTCTAAAGTTGCAGTCTTGTTCAATTCTTTATATTGCATCCAATAATCTTACAAACATTGCATTTTGTAGACAACATAAAGAGTTCATATTTTCCTTTGTGCTTTGTTTGATACGGTCTATTGTTGATTAGAAGAAGCGTAAAGAATTGAACCATGTGATAAGCCAACTTTCGTTTCCTCATGCCTTCTAAAGTTGCAATCTTCAACTTTTTATGTTGGAAATAAATGTTATAGCATTCTATGGGGTTTCTTGCATACAAAGTGAGTTAGAGGATTGCAACATAGCCTTGAAGCCTCAAAGGAGAAAAAAAGGACAATGGCCTCTCATTCAGCAGCCATATTGCTTTGTCAAGGTTTTAATTATCATCCTGTCTCCTTTATCATGGTGGTTAAGGCGTTGACTTCATCAACCTATATCCTTTGATTCATGTAATTGATCTGTGCCTTTAGCACTTTCAGATGATACCGAATGACCAAAACCCGTGACATATTGTCTGAAAATATGTTTCATAAGGTTCTGGACTTATATGTTAGTGGGCAAGACATTTACCCATTTAAATTTCGTGGAATATATGGTTGTTTGTTTGTTAGCCACACGTGTGGCCGAGTCTAACGTGAAGGATGGTGTGAAGAGAGCTTATAACTCACATTGAATAATTAGGACCGCCAACATTGATTTGTATACTTGAGGGGCTATTCCATTCATTGTCAGTTGGTTTTGGGTTGGATGTTTTACCATGGTATCAGAGCTGGACCTTGAGCAGTTATTGGCCCATGTCTCTTATCCAGTCTAGATCCTGGTATGCATGTTTGTTAGCCTCACGTGTGAGCCTGGCTCCCATGTGAGGGAGGGTGTAAAAGGAGTTTATATCCCACATCCAATAATTATGGTCACCCAAGGTTAGTTTGTATTCTTAAGGGGCTACTTCACCCATTGTCAATTGATTTTGGGTTAGATGCTTTAACATTTTAGTAATTCCAAGAAATGAAACTAGGTGATGTTATTTCCAGAAAGTTAAGTGATGTTATTGCATTATGATGTAAAGTGTCATTTTCTAATGCAATAGAATATGATTAGGTGACCGATTCTTAACGGGATATGTTTTGGCACATTTACTCTTGATTATGTTGGTTCCTTATCTTTTTATCTATTTTTGATTGGTGCTCCACTTTGGTGTTCATTTTGTAAGCTTCATGGAGCCCTTTATATAAAGAAAGTCCATGGTTTAAATGTAGTAGTACTTGGGATAGTTTTTATCTTTGCGGGGGTAGCTTCGCCTATTTACTGGGAGGTCATCATCAGTTTACTGTAAATTTAATATTACCGTGGTAGATAGACATTCACTAAAACTTTTTCCTGTGAGATTTTTTAGAGGAAAAAAGGTTTTCCTATTAGTTGTTGATAGGGGTGCAACTCGGCCGGGTTGGGCGGGGTGGATAGTCAACCCTAGCCCAACTCTAGGTATATAATCTTCAACTCTAACCCTAACCCAAATCCTACCTCGGTTTGAAGAACTCAACCCGAGCACTTATCGAGTTTCATTCGGGCGGGCTCGGGTTGAATTCAGGTTATTGATTTCGAGCTAATTTTGGGTTACTTTACAGGTTTAATTCTGGTTGAGTTCGGGTAGAGCCCAAAATATGCTTGTTGTTCTAAACCTAATACATATATTACATAATATTCACCTAAATTAACAACCAATAACTTTAACAAAGTTTTAACAGTGTTAATGTTAGAAAAAAAAATGAAAATGAACAAGAGAAACAGAAAACGATAGAACAAAAATGAAACATTAGTGCTAATACTTTATATATATATATATATATATATANTTGTTAGCCACACGTGTGGCCGAGTCTAACGTGAAGGATGGTGTGAAGAGAGCTTATAACTCACATTGAATAATTAGGACCGCCAACATTGATTTGTATACTTGAGGGGCTATTCCATTCATTGTCAGTTGGTTTTGGGTTGGATGTTTTACCATGGTATCAGAGCTGGACCTTGAGCAGTTATTGGCCCATGTCTCTTATCCAGTCTAGATCCTGGTATGCATGTTTGTTAGCCTCACGTGTGAGCCTGGCTCCCATGTGAGGGAGGGTGTAAAAGGAGTTTATATCCCACATCCAATAATTATGGTCACCCAAGGTTAGTTTGTATTCTTAAGGGGCTACTTCACCCATTGTCAATTGATTTTGGGTTAGATGCTTTAACATTTTAGTAATTCCAAGAAATGAAACTAGGTGATGTTATTTCCAGAAAGTTAAGTGATGTTATTGCATTATGATGTAAAGTGTCATTTTCTAATGCAATAGAATATGATTAGGTGACCGATTCTTAACGGGATATGTTTTGGCACATTTACTCTTGATTATGTTGGTTCCTTATCTTTTTATCTATTTTTGATTGGTGCTCCACTTTGGTGTTCATTTTGTAAGCTTCATGGAGCCCTTTATATAAAGAAAGTCCATGGTTTAAATGTAGTAGTACTTGGGATAGTTTTTATCTTTGCGGGGGTAGCTTCGCCTATTTACTGGGAGGTCATCATCAGTTTACTGTAAATTTAATATTACCGTGGTAGATAGACATTCACTAAAACTTTTTCCTGTGAGATTTTTTAGAGGAAAAAAGGTTTTCCTATTAGTTGTTGATAGGGGTGCAACTCGGCCGGGTTGGGCGGGGTGGATAGTCAACCCTAGCCCAACTCTAGGTATATAATCTTCAACTCTAACCCTAACCCAAATCCTACCTCGGTTTGAAGAACTCAACCCGAGCACTTATCGAGTTTCATTCGGGCGGGCTCGGGTTGAATTCAGGTTATTGATTTCGAGCTAATTTTGGGTTACTTTACAGGTTTAATTCTGGTTGAGTTCGGGTAGAGCCCAAAATATGCTTGTTGTTCTAAACCTAATACATATATTACATAATATTCACCTAAATTAACAACCAATAACTTTAACAAAGTTTTAACAGTGTTAATGTTAGAAAAAAAAATGAAAATGAACAAGAGAAACAGAAAACGATAGAACAAAAATGAAACATTAGTGCTAATACTTTATATATATATATATATATATATAATTTTTTTTTTAAATTGTCGGTTCGGGTTGAAATCGGGTTAGGATTTTCTAACCCAAGCCCAACCCAAATTGAATTCGGGTTGTGGTTTTCTGACCCAAGCCCAACCCAAGTATTAAAAACCCTTACCCAAGTTCTAATTTTTTCGGGTTGGGCTTGGGTTGAAATCGGGTTGCCCAACCCAAGTTGCACCCCTAGTTGTTGAACTTCCTTGACTGAAAGCTCATTGCTCTTAAAATCCCTTGAATTTTATGCTTCAACAAACATGTCCAACTTCAAAGTACTGGTACCTATGCTCTCAGACATACTAATTGTCAATCCATAAAACTCAGTTTATTTTCTTCCTTGAGGATGATAAGGATCCGCAATGATTTCAAGAATACGATCTTGCTTCCTGTCAATTGTACTTTTGCCTTTTCTTTTCAGCACCTAAAGTGCATATCTTCTGTTTCTTTATGATTTTGATGGAATGAGATACAGGATATACAAATTGTATGTGTTCTCTTTTTAATGAACTTGTGCTTTTGTTTGTGTTCAGAAAATGGCGCCTGTCACTTATCACCCTACTCATGATCGGACTCTTCCGCCACCTAATCAAGGTGATGGAGATAAACTTATTCCTTGTTTCCTAGACATAATTGATTATTAAACGCTGGATTATTTAGTTGCCATGACAATGTATATTGTTTATATGGACTTCATCTGATATTATATTGCTACTGTATCTTCAAGCTATTTGTGAGACTCCTCCAGGCTCCAGCCCCCCTGCAAAGTCTTGAGGGATATATTAATGTGAGCGGGTATATTATCCAGAATGAATACCTCTTTGTTGTGGCATGTTGACCATGGAAGATTTTTTTTCGAGCACATCAGTAAAAATGAGCCATATGTTAGCAGTTGAAATGGATTTTTTTTATTCTTTTAGAAACATTAAACCGGTGGGAACATGCTGAAATGTGTGGAGTTATTAGGAATTATGCCCTGTCACTCCTTCCAAAAGTTAATGTTGTTGCCTAGGTAGTTGTTTCTAAATGAATTTGTCTGATGAATTTATATTGGGATTTTTAACTGGCAAGCCTTTTAGCTCAAAGATTTGGTTGAAGGCTAACCCAGAAACAGCTGGCGACATGTTTCCACTGTCCTCCTGCCTCCCCTTCCCCCATAATAGAACCAGAAATAAAAAATGAGAACATAGTGTTGCTCTTCTGCATGCAGTCTGAGGGCAAAATTGGGGCATGGTGTACTGTATCTATAGGTGGCAATTCTCGTAGAATGTGCTCTCTCAATGGGGGAGAGGCCATTTGTGGAATGCCCAAATTAGTTGGGTCAGGATACAACTTAATTACCGAAATGTGACCAAATACTTTTACAATGTGAATTTTTTCTCAAGTTTGCCAATTATCAAACAATTGTTGTTTTGGTATTTGTTACCGACATTCCTTGGTATGCATTTGGCAGTGATATCTTCAGAAGCCAAAAACATTCTTCTGAGACACTTCTATGAGAGTGCTGAAGAGAAGGTCAGAATTTACATCACAATGCACTGACTCAAGTTGTTTGTGTGCAGAAACACTAAATAAAGTTTTACTTTTCTTCTGTTCAATACCCCTTTTTTTTTTGCAGTTGAGGCCAAAAAGAGCTGCCCCTGAAAACCTCGTGCCAGATCATGGATGCAAGCATCCTAGGGCTTCTACTTCGGATGCTGGTTCCTTCTGAGCTTTGTGTTACTTGACAGTTGCGGAGTCTTGGAGTTTCTTATGTAAATAACATCATGATGTCACAGTTGTGTGGTGGCTGTGTAAACTTAGCCGGACTTGTACATTTTGCCTTTGTAAACAAAATTGCATACAACGGGTCAATCCCATAGCAGCATTAAGATAATCTCATGACATGCTTTTTTCAGTTCATTACCGTTCTTCTGGTATTCAATTCTTGCATATTGATAAACTCATGACATCCTTTGCGCAGTTCATTACTGTTCTTCTGGTATTCAGTTCTTGCATATTATGGGAGACAGCTAACTTCGCAAAGCATTCTTGTCAGCGTTTCGTTTTTGACACCGCAATGGATGGTGAGATACGTTTTTATGCGGATGCAGATTTGAACCCCACTGAGGCCCCACTGAGGCCCCACTTCAGCCTACTAATATAGTACCTTTGGGCCGCATTAGGGCCTTAGTTGGTGTGGCACTTGCAATGCTCTGGAACTAGATTTTTTAATATTGTCGGTACTTGCGTTAGATTTGCATATTTTTGTGTTATACAACGAAGATCTAAAACTTATAATTAAGATCAGTTGATAAAGGTTGATCTAAGCATATGCTGAGATAGCCTCAACTATGGAATCATTTTCAGGAACCAGGGTCGGCTTTTGGATACATGTGAATGCTGCAGTGCTGGGGGATACAATTAGAAAATTGAGATAAAATATATGCTTAGAGAGATTCTGATAAGCAGAGGAAGCATCAATTTTTGCAGCTGGATGACAAAGAGATTTGTAGTAGCAATTGATCATGACCCCAAAGGCCCAAACCATCAATCATAGCAATAGTAAAATAGACCGTTACACTCGTGATTTAGACTACAAGATTCGAATTTAAGGCTGCTTTATAACTTGTGTCAAGGCTTAGAACTTGTATATAACATATTATAATTTGTACTTAAAGTGGTCCTTTATTTAACCGTGGATGATTAATCGTATTCTGCCACGTGTATTCAGTTCCCAAGCTGCCAAACCCGTGCAACACGAGTTAGATTGATCCACGCCAAGGCAGTGCCGTGGGAGAAGACGAAAGTCACAAACAGAGCTCAAAGACAACTCACCACACGACCCTTCGACACTCTCTTCTCCACGACCAAATGGCTATGGCAACTCCACTCTACTCCGCCTGCCCAATTCCCAGCAAAACCACCTCGACCCAACATTTTCTCTCTCCTTTTCCTTCAATCTCTACCCATGCCTGCACCACAAGATACACTGCTCCTCTATCTCTCCGATTCACAGCAAGAACACCGCCTGCGGTGGTGATGTCGGCCGCAACCGTCGAAGCCGAGAATCTGGAGGCCGTCGCAGCCACTCCGTCAAAGTCTTTGCCCTTCCGGGTAGGCCACGGCTTCGATCTTCACAGATTGGAACCAGGTTACCCACTCATCATCGGTGGAGTCAATATACCACACGAAAGAGGTTGCGAAGCTCATTCCGATGGTAAATGATACTTTTATTCAGGAATACCTAGACTGATGTTTGTGTGTTTATGTGAATTTTTCTGGAATAATTTTTTTTTGCTCTTGTGAGTGACTAACTGGAATGATGATTGATTGTGGTTATTCAGGGGACGTGTTGCTTCACTGTGTTGTTGATGCAATTTTGGGGGCTTTGGGGCTTCCGGATATTGGACAGATATTTCCGGACTCCGACCCTAAATGGAAAGGGGCTGCATCTTCTATTTTCATGAAAGAAACTGTGAGTTTTCATCAATTTTTTGCTTCTAATTTATTAGTTGATTTAATTTTTTCCTTATGTCCTCATGATTAATCAGTCTTGCCACTCAGTGTAATTATTATAAAAAATTGGCAATTTGAGAATATAAATGGGCTCTATAATTTGCGTGTTGGCTTTGTGGTAGTGGTGGGGCAGGTTGGTTGGGGTTGAAATGGTTTATTTTATAGTTGACAATTAGAAACAAAGAAGAATATAAATTTTTGCCACCACAAATGCAGAATCTACTGCCAGTCATTTGTTTTCAGAGAGAATAAAGCAAAAAGGATGGCCCGGTGCACGAGGCTGCCTTACTGGTGATGAATTTGTTTGCTATCATTTCAAAACAAATGATCAGCAATGTCTATCGTATTTCATCAATGAAATTGCCTCATCTTTTTGGGTGAAATTCTTGTAGAAGTGTCGTGTGTCAAGCATTTTGTGATAATTATTGGTTTCATAACTAGCAATACTGAATCATAGTTTTGAACGTGCTGGTTAGGGATCGAAAAAAAAGTGCTATTTGAATATAATATTGTATATTGGGTCCGTAGTCAATTTGAAATTAGGTTCTAGATGGGTGGAAGATGAGATAGATTATTAAGGAATAGGGGAAAGATGCATCACGAATTTGAAAAAGAAAAAAAAAAAACTTTTTACAGCTTGTTCTTCATAGGCAGATATCTTTTACCAAAGTGATATACACATACTTAATCTGACCCTGATTCTTTATCTATTTGAAGCGCAAGACAAAAGACTTCCAATATGAATACATTTCTTTTGCCCTACTAAATAGTCATCCCCAGTATAAGACCCAATACATCAAGATTCTTCGACCTGACCCGTTTTCATTTAGTTAAATGGCTGAAATATCTGGATACTAATACATGCTAAACTTTCCCATATCTGCCCCTTGAAAACTCTTTTTTGTGAAACCCATTGCCAAAATTTGTGTTCTATGTATCTTAATTGCATTAATAGGGAAACTGTGCTTTGGCAAATGTCTTTACAACTCGGATTGTGAATTATTATTGTCACTTGAGCTCCATCAGCTGTCATTATGAAGGAGAATAGGAATTGGGAGCTGCAGTTTTTCTTTCCTATGTCAAACTACGCCTAGTTGCAGAAGTGTCAACTTCTTTTCGGTCTCGTTTTTGGTGGCTCAGTGGAGGTATTCTTGTGATAACTGATGACAAGCTGCTTCTTTTTGAAGATTGTTGTAGAGAAAAACTCCAAATTTGAATGGAAAGAGAGGGCAAATTTATGGGGAACTCAAGCATAGGAAAAAAAAAAAGGAGCATTGTGTAGTTTTGCCTGAAAACTTTGTCCACCGATCAAGAAATTTAGTATGGAAAAGAGGAAAACCAGATAACTGCTCCTAAAATCCTAAATTCTATATATCTTTCATAGAAACAAGCTCCCTCTGGCCACACTCCCAAATTGGACTTATATATAGACATAATTCGTGTCCAATAACAAGAGAAAACCTAAGTTATTAGCTAGGTACATAGAGATGGAGTCTCTATCCCTGAAAATATCTGATTACTCTCAACTGTTCCACTAGCATAAATGTTTTTGAAAATAAGGTATGCTAATTGCCTCCTGTCAATGCGAACACTTTCAAATGGAGAGATTGAGCTGCATCATTTTTGATAGAATTATGGTGCTAACTTTCATCACAAAATAGAAACAAATGTACGGCACCAAGTATAACCATATGAATTGACTGTATCAGGTGCTTGCAGATTACAGAATTAGTGTTTGAATTCCAGTAGTGTTTCATTCTCTTATTAATCTTTTGATTTTGTTATGTTCTTCATTCAAGCGTGTTAACAAACTTACTGTGGTACATTGTTTCGCACCAATATATATGTATGTTAAAAATGAAAACATGGTTAGAGAACCTCTTGCTGGTATTTTGGTAAATGTTTTCTTTTTGGTATCATAATTGGGATATTCATTTAAAAGCATTGTTGCTCAAATTCCACTTGGGCTTATTGATTGAGATGTTATTTCCCAATATGGAAAAGTGGGTACGTGGTTCATCATTTTCCTTTGAAATATGATCTGAGACACCCGACAGTACTTTCTGGCAGTTCAGTTGATCATAAATCTAATTCATCCTATGCAACGTTTTATATCAGGTCCGGCTGATGCATGGGGCAGGTTATGAGGTGGGAAACTTAGATGCCACATTAATTCTTGAAAGACCAAAGCTGAGCCCGCACAAGGAGGCTATCCGTGCCAACTTGTCTCAGCTGCTTGATGCGGACCCTTCTGTTGTAAACCTGAAAGCAAAAACTCACGAGAAGGTGGACAGCCTTGGGGAGAACAGGAGTATTGCGGCTCACACAGTCGTTCTTCTTATGAGGAAGTAGAAGATGGCCTTTTCGAATTGGAATATAAGAATGTATCCATAAGCATTGTTGTACACTGCTTACAGGGATCCGATTGCTTAGTCCTTGTAGTTAATAATCTGAAAGATGCATTTGGAAATGTATGGAATATTAATCCACTTTTTACTGGGTGGTTGAAATGTATAATTTGTGGAGCTGGAATTACCCACGTCTCTCTCTCTCTCTCTCTCTCTCTCTGTGTACACACACACACACACGTGTGCGGCCACTTGGTGTGCATGCCTGTGTGCCTCTGTGATCGTAACATGCACTGATTTTTTTGGATATGTGTCGCAAGATCTATCATTCTTCACCCAGGAAGATGTAAGTGAGGCATTATGCATCTTGTGTATGAACACTATGGAGTTATATATGTGGTTGAGTGCCTCCCTAAGCTATCAAAACAAACGAAAATCTGTGTTAAATTTTATGCTTTCCAAGGCAAACTGTACCTGCCTGTGGTGAACCTATTCTCATTACAAGCTGTGACCACTTTTTTTTTTTGTCTCCTTTTCGAAACTGGAGCTGCGACCACTTGACAGACACAATTTGTTATCATTTACCAGTAATACAATATCTGATACCTGTAGCCTATTGACTTTATGATTCTTGGACTTGTAACATACATTTTTATTAAAACATTCATGGAGGATACCTCGAATGGCTAAAATATCTTTCTTGGCTTCGCCAAATTTAAAAATAATATGTTTTTTTTTTACGACCAATAAAAATGACTTTTTCAATCTTAAATTTGGATTTGGCATCCCCCCTCCAAAAAAAAACCCCGGAGTAGAGGTCGTAATCCTTTTGTATGTGATGTTTTATCTAGTTTCCTCTATACTTATCCCTTCTTTTTGGTTGGGTCTTGTCTTCCTTGGGCTACTGAACTTCAAATACTTAAATTATGTGGAGAAATTAGAAATTATGATGGTGCTTTGGTGTTTTATAATTTGTCAAATTGTAATGTACTATTTCAAAGCTAAAGTCAAATTTTTGCTCCATCTCCATCTCTTTAATAGATTCCATTCTAAGATAGTACAAGGTAGGTTTTCAAGCACTCCATGTGGCCAAATTTCCATGTTTTGACTTTTGACACCACGAGGGGATTGAATTATTCTTTCTAGCTGACCCAAGGGGGAAAAAAAAAAAACACTCGGACTTGAAAACACAAAACAGCCACCCACATGGCTGACCCAGAAAATCATACTAGACCCGAAAACGCATATAAGAGCCACCCACATGGCTGACCAAAATTTTTCAAGTTTTCCAAACATCATAGGAATTGAATGACCATTACTTAGTAATGTTCGTTCAAATGTTTGACATATAGTAATAATAATTTATTCTCATTTCTATTGAATATTTAATCCCATCAGCATAGAATTTATTATTTCCCAATATTTTATGGTATTTTTTATTCTTAACTATTATCACTTGTTGCTACCACCACCCTGGGTCGGGTTGGGGGTTTGGAGTTCGTGTCAGGTCTTTGTCCAGGGTTGAGGTCGGGCGTTGGGCGTCGGGTCCAGGTCAAAAAATTTTCAAATATTTATTTATTTAAATATTTAAGTGAAATCTATATTCAATAAGTTCATCAGACGTTTTCAAATAAACTCATCTAACTGTAGCTAATATCCTTCTCAAAAACATTAACATTGCACCGTGCCTTCAAACACGGGTTACCCCTATTTTTAATTAAATTCCAACCTTAAATTCTAGTTATTGACAACCATTGGAATGATACTATTTATTCCTACCTTGATTCCATTCCATTTTGATCTTGTGTGACTACATAGACGAAGTTGTGGAAACCTATCTAAAATAGAAACTGTTGGAGTATAGATAGTCTAGGTTTATTAGGATTTCTTTTCCCTTTTTTACCCTTACTAAGATTTTTATATTTGCCTAAACTACAAGGATGTTTAAGTCACTCTGTATTATTTTTGGATATATATACGGGGCTCTACTCTTAATTTGAGTATCCCTTTTCACTTACGTTTATTCCAAGTTGGTATCAAAGCCATACATTAACCCTACCTCAAACCCTAACCTTCTCCCTAACCTAGCCTCCACCGAGATTGCCTCACTGGCAAACTGCCTTCAAGCAAACCCAGCAACCCACTGCCTTCCAGCCCCTTGCCGCAAACCCACTTGTCTCACCCACTGCACCCACTGCCTCCATAAAGCACCGACTGCCTACACAGCAAAACCAGCAACCACAAACCAACTGACCAGCCTGTCTCCACCGACTGAAATCAAAATCTGCTTCATACCAGCGAAACCAGCAACCTGTGACAGCCACCGACTCCATACCGCTGAACCAAAACCAGCAACCCACTGCCTGTCCACCAACCCCATGCGTGACTGTCCATCCACCGATTTGTATGTTGTTTCCTGCTTTGAGTAATGCTTGTGTTGGTGGTAAACTTGATTGCGTTATCTGTTCCCTATCAAAACATGTTAGGGCCAATTATATTCCTCGCATGCACCAGTCACCCAAGCCATTTGACCTAATACACTCTGATATTTGGGGACCCTCTCCCGTTACTGCTCTGTCAGGTGCCAGATATTATGTGACATTTATAGATGATCATACCCGTTGTACTTGGGTCTACCTTTTGCATAGGAAGTCTGATGTGCTCCCTATAATCACTCAGTTTTTACAGATGATTAAGACACAATTCGATGTCATTGTTCGTGCTCTTCGTTCGGATAATGCCAAAGAATATGTGTCTGATGCTTTAGTGTCTCACCTTTCTTCTCAGGGTATCCTTCAGCAACTCACTTGTCCATATACTCCTGAGCAAAATGGTGTTGCTGAGAGGAAAAATAGGAGTTTGATAGGGATGGTACGTTGTCTGCTTAGAGGCATGAGGGTACCAAAATCTTATTGGCATTTTGCTGTTTTGACTTCTACCTTTCTGTGCAATCGTACGCCGAGTCGTGTTCTTCAGCATAAGGCTCCCTTACAGGTCTTATTTCCTGAGCGGACACTTTTTCCGGTCCCCCCTCGTGTTTTTGGATGCACATGTTTTGTTCAGGATCGGTCTCCTACTCGTCATAAACTTGATGATAAAGCGATTCGTTGTATCTTTGTGGGCTATTGTCATCAATCTAAGGGGTATCGATGTTATGATCCTATTAGGCGTCGTATGTATCACAGTCTAGATGTTACCTTTCTTGAGCATATTCCTTATTTTCCTTTCAGTCCTTTGTCTGCCCCTCCAGTTGATGATACTCCCTTTGATTTTCCATTACCACAAGAGTCAGAGTCATTGATCACTATCCCTACAGGGTCATCCGTTTTTCCTCCAAAGGAGTCACTCATCCCTGTCAGTACAGAGTTACCAGTCTCTCTTCCTTTGCAGGTGTATGCTCGTTGTCCTCGCTCTCATCACCCTGCTGATATCCCCTCTACCTCAGGCGATGCAGGTAATACTTCTCAGTTTGTTGAGCATATTGATGCACCTGTTGTTAGTACTGATGAGATTACAGGTGCTGAGCCAGTTACTTTACCTGATAAGATATTATCAGTAGAGGATGGTGATTTAGGGCGTCGTTATCCACGGCGTGATCGCCGTCCAGTTGATCGATATGGTTGGACCGCCAAGATTTTATATCCGATCTCTGCTTATGTTTCTTATGGTAATCTGTCTCCCACATTTCGAGCTTATACTATGGCCTTATCAGATACGCTGGTTCCTCGCTCTATTTCGGAAGCTATGCGGGAGCCCCAGTGGGTTCTTGCCATGCAGACAGAGATGGACGCTCTTCAGCGTAATCATACATGGGATCTTGTCTCCTTACCTTCAGGGGTGAAGCCTGTTGGCTGTCGCTGGGTTTACACCCTGAAGTTTCTTGCGGATGGTACTATTGATCGTTACAAGGCTAGACTTGTGGCGAAGGGCTTTACTCAGGTACCAGGTCGTGATTTTGGTGCTACATTTGCCCCCGTGGCAAAATTGACTACTGTTCGGTTAATTATTTCTCTGGCTGCGGAGTACTCTTGGCCTCTTCATCAATTAGATGTGAAGAATGCGTTTCTTCACGGTGATCTGGACGAGATTATTTATATGGATGCACCACCGGGCTTTCGTGGTGAGGGGGAGTATGCTGGAAAGGTATGTCGACTGCGTAAGTCTCTTTATGGACTGAAACAGTCGCCACGAGCCTGGTTCTCTCGCTTCAGTGATGTAGTCATACGATTGGGGTTCACCAGGTGTCATTCTGATCATACCTGCTTTATTCGACGGAATACTTCTGGACAGTGTGTCATCCTTCTGGTATATGTTGATGATATTATTATTACTGGTGATGATGTTTCTGGGACTGCGCAGGTCAAGATAGACCTTGGGAAGGCCTTCGATGTGAAGGATCTTGGATTTCTGCGATACTTTCTTGGGATTGAGGTTGCCCGTAGAAGCAGAGGTATTGTTCTTTCTCAGAGAAAGTATGTTTTGGATCTTCTTTCAGACACTGGGATGTTGGGGTGCAAACCGGCATCATCACCTATGATTCCAAACCTGAAGCTTACTGCTGAAGGTGAGGAGTTGAAAGATCCGACAGTTTATCAAAGATTGGTAGGTAGACTTATCTACTTAGCCAATACTAGGCCGGACATTTCATTCGCAGTCAGCCGAGTTAGTCAGTTCATGCATAGGCCATGTCAGCCTCATCTTGATGCAGTTTATCATATTCTTCGGTACCTCAAGTCTTGTCCTGGACTTGGGTTGTTTTATGCATCAGGATCTCAGACCGGTTCTCTAGCCTGTTATTCAGATTCAGATTATGGGGGAGCATGTGATGGTCGATCTACTACGGGTTTCTGTGCTTTTCGAGGGACTCATCTTATCTCTTGGAAGAGCAAGAAGCAGACAGTTGTCTCCCGCTCGTCCGTAGAGGCAGAGTATCGAGCATTGGCACTTGGCACATGTGAGATTATCTGGCTACGATCGATTCTTGACGAGTTGGGTTTTTCAGTGACCTCTCCATCCACATTATATTGTGATAATCAATCTG